TGCAGAACTGCAGACGGGATAAGTGGCAGCCAACTGAACATTCTAAACTGTGTGAGGTTAGTGTATATCATGTATTTTTCTATACTTACTGTCTTGAAATGTATACGTGAGCTCACATTAAATTATTTGTTGTTCAGCTTCATTTCGAAGAATCGCAGTTTGAACTGAAAAGAGCTGACGGAAGGAAGCTGCTGAAATGGAATGCGGTTCCCACAATTTTTAATGTGAAAAAGTTGAAAAATGTTTTCTCATTTGTCTCCATAAATAATTTCATTGTTTAAATTTTGAGTATTTATTTGTGATGTGACTTGGTGAAATTGCTTTTTATACAAGAATAAAGAATCATTTTATGTAAATTAGCATTTGTATCTTGTGTGTAAACAGAGAAAGAAGTTATGTCTCAGATAAGTTCTGTTAAAAATATCATTAAATTATGTTTAATATTATCCTTTTGATTAAATTTTATGTAATTAGGAAAATATGACGTTTAAGCCTTTGTAAAGCCAAAAATGTTCATTAATTAAACGTTAGTCCAGTATTTATTTTTTAAATGCATTAAATTGGTAAATGCTTTAAAATAAAATTTTGGATAACTTCATTGTATATTCTTTATTATACTTTAAATTTCCTTTGATGTTATTGCATCACTTTACGAAGTGTCTATATACGTAATTGCAACAGTTTTAGCACCTATTTAATTAGTTTCAATCACGACAGAAAATGATATAGATGATAGTTTCTTTTAAACTATTTGATCGAAAAGTTACATAAAATTGGGGTTGCGTAATCATCCGAAATCATTATTATATTTTCGACTGAAAATCGCTGGATTTATGCAATTTTAGTTTAATTAATGTCGTATAAAACTGACAATTCGTACGAGTTTGCTTAAAACACGCGACTCAAAAAGTCCCAAAATAGCGGCTTAAAAAGCGTGTCCCGACCTTATATAGACCTTGTTTAGGGGTACAGAAAAAAGTTAGTTATTATGGCAGAAAAAATAATATATTAAGTATCACAAATTAATAGTATTAAAAAATTATTAAGTAAAAAATGTTCTTTGCAACAATCACAAACTTTATTATACATTTCAAAATGCCAAAATAGAAATAAAAACTTATGCTGCCGATTGTACAATGCAACAGGTCAATACATGTTGGGCCAAAACTGTTTTAAATAAATTTTCAATATCGCAATAACATTCTAAATCGC